ATATATTAAATATTTTAAAAATATATATATATATTTTTTAATATTTTAAAAATAAATATATAATTGTTTTCAGCGTAACTGCACAAACAATCCACAATGCTTGACTGGATTAGGAGAAGAAAAATACATGAAGTCACAACCTGCTGAAGTAATGCCTTTAGAAAGCTCATTATCTGAGTTACGTGATCCTACACAATATGTTGGTCTAAAGAATTTAGGTGCAACGTGTTATGTTAATAGCTTAATTCAAATGTGGTTTCATAATGAAGATATGAGGTATGCATTTACAAATATCAATTTATTTTATATTTAATTTATTGGCAATTATAAAATAAAATTTGATATTTTTAGGAGAATAATATACAAGTGGAATATCACAGATGACCCAGAGGAAAAGGAAGCACTATGTCAAGCTAAGAAGGCAGGAGTACCATTTCATCCAGTGACAGCAGTTGGACAGTTGCAATATATATTTGCAATGATGCAATTTGGAAATCGTCGTCTACTCGATCCAATGAACCTTGCAATCGCGTTGTCATTGGATACTAGAACTCAACAGGATGCACAGGAATTCTCCAAGCTGCTTCTCTGCCATATCGAAGGGAAACTTCAACAAAACTCAGAACTGAAGCAGATGCTGCAGAGGCTGACCCAAGGAAAATACAGCTATATCAATTGGTGGGTTTTCTGAAGTGGAAAACAAATGAGAATTGTCCTAAACGATGATGATGCTGATGATCTTGACGATGAGAACATGGTAGGACACGTTGCTCGCTGCGATGACTGGTGCGATCAACTGATCTGACCGAGAGAAATTATTTCTTTCTAAATAATGCGAGTTTTATGTTTGGCGCAGTTGCTCGAAATGCGGAACTGAATATCCGACGTCCACAACGTTCTACGAATTGGATCTACAGCTTGCAGCCACTTTGAAAGAGGCAATAGAGAAATACTTGTCTGTGGAACAGTTGACTGGAGCAAATCAGTATCACTGTGTTACCTGCAATGACAAAAAAGATGCGCGCCGTTTTATACGCTTGGAATCTCTTCCAGAAACATTAAATATACAGTTAATGCGTTTTGTGTTTCATAGGTACTTTTATTTTATGATGTTTATGTTATATTATTAAATTATTATATTATGTTAATAAATTATTTTATAATTTATTTTTGTTAGAGATTCTGGGCAGAAAAGAAAGTTGAATTCTTTTATACAGTTTCCCGAAGATCTTGATATGTCAGAATATGTGAGGTGTCCGCTCCAAACTCATTTGTACAGTCTTGTAGCAGTTTTGAGTCATAAAGGACCATCTGCACATTCGGGTCATTATATTGCAAATATATGCAATTCAAACGGGGAATGGTATCAATTTAGTGATGACAAAGTAGAAAAAATGCAGAATAAAAGAATCGAGGATGGAGTTAATGGTAAATATAAGCTTCTATGTAATATAATGAACAAGTTATTTAATAAAATAATATAAAGTTCGAATTATATATTACAGAGAATTCGAAGATTATAAAACGAGGTCGTATACCGAAAGGATTTTTGTCTTCTAATACTGCATACATGTTAGTTTATAAAAAAGTTACTTCTGAAAAACGAATAAATAATACAAAAAAAAATAAGTTAAAAAAATTAGATACAGAAACTAATAGCAATTATAACACAATGCATGAAGAAAACATTGTGATAGTTAAAGAAAAATCAGTTTCATTAGATGAAGGAAAATGTAAATATGATACAATTTCTGTTTCGGATGTGAATAATTCTGAGAAAATATTAAAACTTGGAATAGAGACTAAAGAGGAAATGGAAATTTCGAAAGTATCCTCAGAAAATATTGTAACAGAAGTACCTGTAAGAGAGGAATCTACCTTTGATGAACAAAATGGCAAACATTACGAATTCGATAATAAAGAAAATCAGCATGATATATGTAGTAAAAAGTCATTAGCCAAAGTTGTGAAGATAGACTACAAACGTTTAAACGGTGCCGCACATAGAGCTATGAGTTGTGGGGAACGTGACTTTTACGAAGAGGTCGGTATATTGAATTATTCTTTTAATGATTTATATGAAAATATTTTGTTATTTAACAGATGGAATTTGAAAATTGGGAAGTGAGTCCAACATTGCGCGATTTAGTGAGACAGGAAAATGTAAAACATGAATTGAGTTTATTGGCGACTCAACAGGAAAAAGTATATATTACAAATAATAAAAGATTAGAATTAAATAGTTGAATTAGAAATATTTTTTTATTGTTAAAAATATTTTTTTATAGCAAAAGGAGATTGAAGATCAGAACTTAAAGAGACAGCTTGTCATAGATGTATATAATATTATTTCGAATGTAATTTCATGGGAGAAATATCAATGGATTCCAAGTGATTGGTTATCAAAATGGTTAAATGGACATTCATTCATTGATGGAGTGCCACCAATAGATAATTCTACATTAATGTGTACGCATTATCGACTTGATCCTTTAAAAGTGAATCGGGCAAAATGTATTCCTGTAGCTGCTGCAGATGTACTTTATAATAAATATCGTGGTGGACCACGTTTGGATGAAAACTCTTTTTGCGAGGTTTGCGTGAAACGCCGATATAAACTACTTCGTTTCAAGATGTCACTTGAACGTGATTATAAGGAAGTTAGTGAACTCATTCGCAATTTTAAAGAACCGTAAGTTTCTTCTTGTATTAATTATAATTTAGATCAATAAATCATTTTTAAAATAATAAAATTAAAAATTTTACTTTCATAATAATAGATTCGAGACTAGTTATGTTGTGGGTGCTGATTCATTGAGATCGTGGCGGAGACTTGCAATGGAAAAGTTTATGGACGATATGGAACAAGAAATTGAAGATGAAGATTGTCAAGATCCGAATAGTATTCAAGAAGATAGGAAAAATGAAAGCAAAGAAGGTGAACGAGTAA